CTTAAGAGTGTTAACAAAGAAAATGTTTTGAAAATTACTTTTGAAAAGTAGTATTTGTGTAAGTGCAAAATGTTTTTGAGAAAACTTCTAACAACTATCTACTTTTATGCTCGAAAAGGTAGTTATTTTCCTCCTATCCTTTAGACAGTGCTATCCTACTATTAATGAGTAGGTAGCCCTATCGTTGGGTGTATGAGGGACATTCGAAGGGACGTTACAGTCACAAAGGCAACTTGTGGAGACACTTTAGCAATTTTGTTTAGTGACTAGATCATTTAACGAAAAGGAAACTGTAGGGTCATCGAGGGACTATGATCTTTCGATTTGTGGGTCTTTGCTAAAGCATTCCTGCCTCATGATTGTTTTATTTCTAAAGGCAACCAAAGTGGGGTGTCCTAGAGGTGTATATGTGCAATTGATTCAATTCAGTTATTTTTTGTCTTTTTGTTAAGTTTGCTAGCGTTTATTATTAGTCTTATCATACACGCCTAATTACTAGCAGTTAATATATATTGCAGAAATATTAAAATGCAAGAATTTTAAATCTATGCTATTACAATGCTTTTGGGGAGGGGATTTACATTGTACAAGAATGAGGGGGATAAAGCAATAGATATGCTAATTTTAATCTATTACATCCAGTGGTCAGGTATAATAATAATAAAAATACGAAAATAAATAAACGCGCGTGAAATTGAAAATAACGTCTCAAAATATCCTAAGAAATAAAAATCTTTTTGGTTATTTTTATTTTAATAAAATAAATAAATTAAAATTATCCTAAAGTCTATTTAATTTTAATTTAAGGAAAATGGTTAGAATAATTTATTTATTTATTTACAAAGTTTATTTAATTATAAAAGACACTAGCCTAATGTTTTATATGATTTTGATTTAAAGTTAATTTAAATAAAAGAGGGTCAATAAAGAAATGAAAACAAAAATAAAAAATAGAACAAGAAGCATCCTTCGATCGCATGGAGATGGTGTCTTACGATTCTATGAAGGGAAAGCTGTCTTTCGATTTCCCCTTTGATCCAGTGATAGGATGTGGCTTTCGACCCAGAGGGCGCTGCTAGAATTGCCTGATGGATCACTTTTGAGGGCACTACATCTGCAAACATGTTGGCAAAACGAAAAGCATGACCTGGGTGCCCAACCCAGGTCTTTTGATTCTGCACACGTTGGGTCTATTCAGGCTACATCTGTAGCAAGGGTTAGCAGCAAAACAAAGGCAAACCTGGGGTCGAACCCAGATCTTTATTCTTGAATAACAAATCGAATGAAACTTACAAATGTTGATGTGTCATGCAAATGTAGAGATTGATCTTTTACCAATTCTTACCAATGGTTGATGGATGAATATGTGATGATGGGTGTGGGTACCCTTGTTTGATGATTGCTTCGATTTGGCTTCTAGACGTGGGTACCTTTATTTAAAGGTTGCTTTGATTTGGATCACTTATGAGATTTTTTATAACTTTGGTGGGTTTATGGGTAGCGTATCTCCAATGTGTGTGTGTAATCCCCTTTTTGGCTTGCAAGAATGCTGCTTATATAGAGTAAATGGGAGGGGACAAGAATACAATAGTTTAAAATTCCATAAACAGATGTTTTCAAGGCCACGAATGAAGTTTTGTAACGTTGGCCAAAAACACGGGATCTTGTCCTCTTTTATGTATAGTTTTGTAAATAAGCAAGGAGTTGTTGCTCGTATCTTGCAGTAGAACACTTAGGTGTTTTTATTTATACTGAAAAGTATGTGTAATCTGCTTAAAAGAAGCAAATCTGTAATACACTGAAAGTACTCAACTGTTGTTAAATGATACCTTAAGAGACCGAGTGAAGGTCTAATATCAAGAAGACTCTTGTTGCAGTTTGAGTGAATTTGCAATAAGGATTGATGAACTTATTGGGGATGCCAATAAGGTTGATCAGACTTATTGTGGATTGTCTGTAATCAATTTGGTTATAGTGGATTAAGTCCTTGTTGAAGGCAAAATCATCCTTGAGGGGTGGACTGTAGTAGCTTAGTTAACAACGAACCAGGATAAAAATAACCGTATTCATTTACTGTTATGTTCTAAGCTAACTTGTTCTGTCACCAATGAAAATATTTAGTTTGATGAAACCCAACTCAAACCCCCATTTCTTGTGTTTCTCACACCTTCAACCATCACACACCATCAAGTCATGAGGTGACCTCTGAATCGACTGAGGTCGGATGAGAATATGATTCACGCAAACAGAAAGAGTTCAGGGATTCTTCGCACGCACCCCGTTGGGCCTCATGATTGGGGGGCTTATGTACACCCCGAAATTCTTAGAGCCGAGTAATAAATCACTAGGGTCGAGAAAGAAGGGTCGGGTGAGCCAAATACTTTAAAAAGGTAACGATAACTGAGTTGTTACTAGCGAGACATACAAGAGCCAAGGTCGACGTAAGGGGTCAGTCGTATGGTTCTCAGAATCATATTCTCGGGCGGTGTATATAGTCAGGGGTCCGAGTTGAGAATTCGATGTGACAGTTATAGGGCAATCCCATGGTTGCATGGAAGTTATTAAAATTAATGAAGAGCATGTTACATGATAATGAATGCGACAACAAACATTATTAACATCAATTGATCATGAGATTTGAAGAGTCAATTCTTATTGATCTCAGGACATGAGATGGGGTATAAATGGGATCCCCATTGAAGGAGAAATACACGACTTAACCAGGGAACACAACAATAGAAGCAAGCAAATAACCCACAATTCCCATTGTGTTTGTGGTCTCACATGATTTGCTTCAGGGGGATTATCCAAAAGTGTTTATCAGGAACATGGCACATAGAGAATACTGACCATTAGTCTATGTGTTGGAACTAGGGAAATTATTTTACTTACGCTGGTTGGATAAAGATAGGAGACCTCTAGCATTGAAATTTGAATTAACCTACTATTGCATTGCCTAGTCTCACTTACACTAGTTAAATAGATATATGAGACCTCTATTAAAAATTAGTGAGCTATACATAAAGGGATTGAGTATAGTGGTTGTGTTAGTTCGTCGTGGAAATATAATGACTTTATCATTTATGTAATGCATTAAATAGGGGGAAAATATAACAACTTTTATTTTTCAGAATTAAACTTGAAAATCCCCATTGTTACTTTTTTAACTTGCAGAACCATTGTTTTGTTAAATAGTGCGATAATTTCTTGAAGAACTTAGTCTCCCACGTTATCAAAAGAGAGACTCTTACTTAGAACAAACCTTATTCCATCGTTCGCAGCCCACGGCGTCCTTCTTCCACATCATGTTTTTTTTAGGTGTCAACATGGATTTCTTTGATTTATTTCCAGAAGAAGCTTCTAGTTCTATTTCGAATGTGAAACCATTCTATTCCAAAGACATTGTTCCATCAAAACCTCCAACAAAAACTCTGACAATTTTGTAATCTTTCGCTCATGCTCTCAAGGGAGTATGTGATATCCCGGTTTCACAGCTTCCTTAACCAGTTATCAAAGGAGATCGTCCTTCCATCACCATTCTCGAAGACGATTATTTAGCAGGTCTTAATGAATGCAAGAATAACCTTCATGATAAAGTCCTCTAGCCAAAAGGTTTGACACCTCTTACAGTAGCAGCACTTCGCACGAAACTAACACAGATTTGGTCTGGTGTCAAGAACTGGAGAGTCTTGTCATTAGGAAAAGGGTATTACGAATTTACTTTCTCTAATGATGAATACATGAGAAGAGTCATAGCTTCTGGAGCGATTAACTTAAGCTCTGGATCGCTTAAAATTTTTGCTTGGTCGAAGGACTTCAACCTAACTTCACAACATAATACTTGTGTGCAGGTTTGGGTTAAGTTTTTTTGGTTACTGCAGGAATATTTGAGGCCTCGGATCCTTTTCGCCATAGTTAGTTGTGTGGGAACTCCTATTTGTATTGATGTTGCATCTTCAAAATCCAGAGTTGATAGAACTTTTGGTCAGTTTGTTCGAGTCCTTATTGATATGGATTTACTCTACCAATTAATTACAATGTCCTTGTCGAACGGGAAGGGTTTGTGTTTTTTTTCTGATATCGAGTATGAAAATTTACCTGAATTTTGCTCCCTCTGCAAAAGATCGGGACATGAAGTGCAAAACTGTAAGTTTTTGAAGCAAAACACAACTCAACAAGTTACTAAACCTAAAGTTAACTTAATGCCAAAGCCTTTTTCTAACCAGCAGATTGATCCTCTGATGCCTGTTAATAAGGATGTTATTCAAAATCTGAATACTGATGAAAATTCTGATGAGAGTAGGGATAATGGGCCAATACTGGAGATTATACCTACTGCTCCTGATATAAACATACCTAATGATGAGACGACAATGCCACATCTCAACCATCATAACTTTGTTTCACAACCATCTACAGAGTCAGATACTTAACTAGTTTCTTTAGTGGATGCAACACAAGTCGCTAATGATAAAGAAGTTCCTGAGGCAGACACTGCTTTCCTCAATAATTCGGGGGACAAGTTAGTGGAGTTAGGGGAGGACCACATGCCTAAGGATGATGTTTTCTCTTCTCCTATTTCCAAGCTTAAAAAGAAGCAGTCTGCTAGGAAAAAACAATAGTACACTACCAGGTCCCAAGTAGGACCCAAACAACTTTCTTTATGAAGTGCCTCTATTGGAATATTAGAGGTGTAGCTAATGCTCCTTTTAGATTAGCCTTAAAGAGACTTCTGAAGTTGCATCATCCAAATTTCATTTTTATTGCAGAGCCTAAAACAAATTACTCAAAGCTCCCGAATAATTGGTTTCATCGTTTAGGATTCAAGCTTTTTGCGGTTAATAACAAGAACTTACCTTTTTTGTGGTGCCTTTAAAATGCTGATTTCTCCCCTACTATCATATCATTGTCTGATTAACTTATTGCTTTTACTTTTATGATGGACAATTGTTTGCTGGCCTATGCTGGTGTGTATGCCTCAACCAATCTCATCAAACATCATGACCTTTAGTTTGATCTTAATAATCTGCAATCTTTGCATAATCTTCTGTGGTCCTTTGTCGGAGACTTTAATGCAATTATTGGTGCTCATGAGCACCGTGGTAGAATTAACCCTGCTCGTAGGCCTATGGCTGATTTTAAAAGCTGGTCTGACGCTCACAATCTCATCCATATTCCTACTTATGGTGCCAGATTCACTTGGTCCAATAAGAGAGATCATCCCTTTTTTTATTGAAAGAAGGCTTGACATGTGCACTGGTAATCAACTTTGGTTTGATGCTTGTAATCAAATTTCAGTTTCTACAATCTTTAAAGTGAGGTATGATCATTTTCTGTTGCTGTTCAGATTTCAAATTAAAGAGGTTAGAGTTGTGTCCCAGTTCAAATTCCTTAAAACTTGGTCCCTTCACAACAATTGTCATAGATTGATTGAATCGATTTGGACTCAAAATATCATCATATGTCATATGTTTTTCCTTAGTAAGAAGTTGCAACTTTTGAAAAAGAGCTTAAAGAGTGGAACAATAACATATTTGGAAATGTCTCTCATAATGTTAAAAATGCAAAAGAGATTCTAGAAAAAATTCAAACTCATCCAGAATAAAGGATGCAATGAGCATCTCAAGTAGCAGGAAATCACAACTCAAAACTCTCTCTCGGTTGCTCTAGATATGGAGGAATGCTTCTGGAGCATGGCATTTGGAGGGAGATCAGAATACAACCTACTTTCACTATATTACCAAAATCAAACACAAGCTGAAGCCTATCTCCATGCTTGTGCATGAGGATGGGGAGATTTCTTATCCCATTGAGATAATCGACTATGCTGTAAACTATTTTCAAAATCTTTTTTCCACTAACTCTGTTCTTTTGCAGGATATGAGCTTGGTGGAGGATACCATTCCATTATTGGTCGATGATAATATGAACGGTGTTATCATGAGGCTTCCTTTTATAGAGGACATTACTGCTAGGGTTTTTGCTTTGAGCAAAGATGGTGCGTCGGGACCAGACGGATTCAGGGCTATTTTTTATCAAACTTATTGGGATATTATCAAGGTGGACGTCTCAAACGCGGTTTTGGACTTTTTTCGCACTGGATGGATTTTGCCTGGATACAGTTCTAATTCCATAGTTCTAATTCCCAAAATCAAAGGTGTTGAAGCATTGGATCAGTTTCGTCCCATCTCTATTTCAATTTTAAGTTTAAGGTAATTTCCAAGATTATTACAGTTAGGCTTGCAACTTTGATGTTGATTTTGGTTTCTCAGGAGCAGCGGGGTTTTATACATGGCAGACAAATTCACGATTGTATTGGCTTAGCTTCGGAGGCGGTTAATATGTTGGATTCTAAATCTTGGTGTGGTAATTTGGCTCTTAAAGTGGATATCAAGAAAGCGTTTGATACACTTAGTTGGGATTTTTGCGTCTGATTCACCATAAGCTTCCGACGGATGATCAATGGAAAAGAAGATGTTTCTCCTTCCCCTCTAGATGTGATCTTTGCGGTTTGGCAGAGGAATCAGAACCACATCTTTTTTTAATGCTCTTTTGCCTCTAAGATTTGGATTTGGTTTAAAGATATGCTCAACATCAATTACTTAATACAGGGCTGGCCGAATATTTGGAAGCTGATTGGTATAGTAGGTGCTAATCATAATATTCTCATCATTAAAGTCACTACCATTTTCACACTCAACGCGATTTGGAAGGCTAGGAATATGGTTAGATTAATGACACAATAACTACCTTTACTTCTTCTTCTGCTTATATTTTGCTTGCGGCTTCCATAGCCGGTAATGCTACCGTTGTTGGTCCTCATATTTCTATGCGTGACTTTGATATCCTTACAAGATTTAAGGTTTCTATCCGACCGCCTCGTGCCCCAAATATTTTAGAGGTTTCTAGGCATCCTCCCCCATTGAACTAGATTAAATTGAATCGTGATTGAGCTTCCCAAACTCCTTCGGGATCTTCGGCTTGTGGAGTCATTGCTAGAGATATTGGTGGTTCTTTTAGGGGTGCTGTAACACAGTGGAAGAACTGACTTGGGTGTTTTGCGTTTTATCGCAATTGTTGCGGATAACAAGAGTCGTCACCGACTTTTCTTTTATCCAAATAAAGGAAAGGGTGAAAAGAACAGGAAAGACCTTTGAGATTATTTTCTTGAGTTCAGGGGGGTAGATTATGAAAAAGGAATGTGTTAGCACCCTTTTCATCTATAGTTATCTATAGGCTCTTAGTTGCTTGCTAAATCATTGCTTTTGTTTGAAAGTGTGCTTTGTGGTGGGTTTTGAAAGTATTTTTGAAAAGCGCCTTCGTTTAGGCAAACTTTGTAATGATTCTCGTCTCTATAAGAATGTATACAAAGTGTTAGATTTTTGAAAATATTTCATGGAAACTGTTGGTGCATTTGAAAAGGTGTTTGTGTTTGAAGATGAGCAAGCAACTAGGAACATTCTACCTTACTCAAAAGTCTTTTGTTCATTCCTCTCTTCCTTTGATATTGCTATCTTACCATTGATTAGTAAGAAGCCTTTATCTTTGGATGTAAAAGGGACGGGTGTGAGTCGTATAGTCATGATAACAATATTGTGAGATATCTTAGTATTTCTCTTGAGGGACTAAGATCATTTGTAAGGCAACATTCGAAGCGTCATCGAGGGACTATGATCTTGTATTTTTGATTGTTTTTGCTAAGACGTCTCACATGCATAACATGACCATTTTTCATAAGACAACAAGTGGAGTTAACCCTAGAGGTGCACGTGTGCAAAGTGTGTTTGATTGCATGCATTTTTGTCTTTTGATCAGGGTGGTCTAGTTGTTGATTTTATCTTGCCATACACCCTAATTACTAGCATTTTGTATAAAATAAAAAATGCAGAAAAATAAAATTCTACACTATTACAACCATATTGAATTGCATGAAAATATAAAGGCAAAAATAAGATAAAAGAAAGAAAAAGAGTCTTTTCGATTTAGGCAGAAAACCCTTCGATTCTGCACTTTCTGGCTCTCTTCATTCTGGCCTGAAAAGGGTGAAGGCATGACTTTCGATTGGGGCCTGGAGACCAGCATGTTGAGCCTTTCGAATGAGCCTAGAGTCAGTGTAGGCACAATCTGCCTTTCTGCCTCCTTCGACTGGGGGTTGAAAGCAGTGAGGGAGTGTCTTTCGACTGAGGCCTGGAGGTTAGTGTGGCGTGTCCTCTGGCTTTCTCTTTCGTTTGACCTGGAGGTTAGTGTGGAAGCCAGAGGCTTCGTTTCCAACTTCTTATTTCCTGTTTCTTTCGTTTGAGTTTGAATAGCAACATGGCCTAAGACCATGCCAACATTACCTTAGGGCCAGGATAGTCTTTAAAGCATGTTTAAATATACAAAGAGCAAAAACCAAGAAGGTTGTTAACCATGAAACATATTAAAAGGATGGAAAGGAAAATAAGAGCAATAGTATGTACATGTTTGAAACGAAAAGGAACTGTATTTACATGTTATGCCAGAAACGAAAAGTTCAAGGTTTAGAGTAACTTATCTTTCTTGAGGTTGGAGCGTGTGCTGGACCTTGAAATGGTTACCTTGGATGCTTCTGGATTCGAAGGGAAAGATCAAGGGTGGGCCTTTGACACTGGATTCGAAAGAGCAAAACAAGTGAAATGTCCTTTGCTGGATTCGAATGATAGCAAGATGTAAGGATGTTTCAGATTTGAAAGAGACAAGTATTTGGATTCTGGGTTTGGGTTTTCACAAGTGTTTAAGTGTTTGAGAATTTTATGGTGTTTGGGAATTTTGAAGATACGCTCCTCTATTCTTCTCCCTCCTTTTTTTTTATTTGCAAGGGATCTCTCTATTTATAGAGAAAGGTTTTGGGAAGTTTGGGAGTAAAAATAATAAAATAAGGCTCAGCTGGAAAGTAAATGTCCACTTGTGTCATGATCCCAAGATGAGATAACAAGATGAATGGTTTAGATGGATTACTTCCTGCAGAAGGAAAACATGCGCAAGGCTCAAGAATTTTTTTTCTAAAAGTAGTATTATACTATTAAGGGCAAGTTGTATTGGACAACAAATGGGTAAAAGCCTATTTTAACTTATATAAACAATTCAATATAGAGTGAGTCATATGTTTGAGGCCTGAAAAGGGGAAACACGTAGCCTAGCCTATGGGTATAAATGTTCAACTTGATCTTTTGAATCGAATCCTCCATCCTTCCACATCTTTCGACCAGACTAAAATTAAATTTATTCCCAACATGTACTCTTCGAATGGGTTTCTTGTGTGGCCTTCGACTGGGTCTAGTATTACTTCCTTCGAATGGGCCTTTTGTGTGGCCTTTGACTGGGTCTAGTATTACTTCCTTCGAATGGGCCTTTTGTGTGGCCTTCGACTAAGCCTTCTGCATGCTGAAGTGTATACAAATGTTTCAAAGGGTTGTCTGCTCCCAGTTGAAACTGGCACAAAGGCAACCTATGCCTTGTGGATGCTAGCATGAAACAAGTTAGGGTATGCATAAAGGAGGTCATTTCCTAGGTGAAGCTGGCACAAAGGTGGCCAGTGCCTTGTGGTCGAAGGCAACTTTGAAGGAATCTTGGCCTTGTGTTGAAGACATACTGAAAAGGGATACGTGCACTGGTGACACGTTGAGGGGTCTTTTTCCCAGTGGGAGTTTTTGTGAATCGAAGGCCAGTTTGGAGAAGTTTTTTCTTTTGTGCGTTGAAGGCACACCTAGAGGGATAGTTTGCCTAGTATAAGTAGGAAATAAACTTGCTCCAAGGTAAATAAATGCTCAATTGAAGTAAGGATCCAGCTTGCATGTGGGTAGCTATTGCATTTGTGAGTCAACCCAGCATGCAAAGGCAGTGGTGCAATCGAAGGAGCACTCACAAGAAGCCCTTCCCCTTCGAATCGAAAGAGGCTATTTTAAAGGGAAAAGATACCTAGTCGAAGCTTGTATACAACAAGCAAGCAACAGTCCAAGACTTTAGTCAAAGCTTGGAAAATTGAGGCAAGCTTGAATGAGGATTCAAAGGTCATGTCCTGATTGAAGAACACATCTCCCATACATTGGAGAATTGGATTTGAAGGGTTATATTCTGATAAAAGAATAGAGCTTTTGTATGTTGAAGAGTGAGATTTAAAGGTTCATGTTCTAATCGAAGAGTAGAGCTTCTGTATGTTTAAGAGTGAGATTCGAAGGGTTATGTTCTGATCAATGAATAGAGCTTCTGTATGGTGAAGAGTGAGATTCGAAGGGTCATGTTCTGAACGAAGCAAACTTCTGACCTTTGATTCTCCCTGCACCAGCATGATCTGAAGGAATTCTCTAGAAAGCTTGTAACATGTCCTGCCATCACTTTTGCAAATTCTGACTGTACTTGTGTGAAAACTGGTCCAGAAGTTCTGTCTAAATTCTGACTAAAAAATGCCCAGAATTTACTAAGTGTTTTTGCTTCATGAACGTGTCTTCAAGGATTTATAACTTGAAATTCCAGCATTTCTAGGAGAAGTTATGTTCAGCAATGTCTTAGATCTCATTGAGATCTATAACTTTCATGTCAGGAGTTCTGATTGAATCATCTTGCATCATGATGAAAATCTGGCCCAAAATTATTTAATTATCATATTTTCTTAACACTTAGAAAATTTTCTAAGTGCTTAAAAGTTTGATTGTTCAAAGTAATTTTTGAATTTTGATTTCTTGATGAACCAACTTCATGTCTTGATGAAATATGATTTTTGAAACTTGATTTTGATCAAAAAGTCAAAGTTTGAATTTTCAGTGTACATTTGACCATTTTGCCTTTGTGAATGACTTTCTTGGAAAATTGTAATCCGAGACTTGAAACTTGACAGAAGCAATCCTGAGGGTCCAGGATGATCTCTTGTGAAATGAGAGCGAAAATTTTGGGGTACAATAGCTGCCCCTGTTCAATCTTCTTAAACCTGAAGAGTTAGATTGGCGAGTCCTCCATTCGTGACTTGAAGGTGGAAGATGATTGAACACTAAAGTGCCCATAAATTTTCACTAGCTCGAAATAGAATTGATAGTTGATGATGTAGGGAATGGGCTTACAAATGCCATTTGGAGGAGATGACAGAGAGTTGTCAGAGACGGGCTTAAAGATGCCATCTAGAGTGACTGGGGGGAGGTATCAGGATAAATCTTTTGGTTGATTTATACTGAAATAGTAGATGTCTTTTTCCTGTTTTTAAACTGGAAGAGATAAATCTAACCAGAAGAGGTCTTCATTTGATGATTTATTTTTTTTCCTGCAAGGAAGAGGATTAGTTGCATGTAGATGTACGCATGGCGTAATGATGTTATCAAAATAAATGAGATT